TTTGAAGTGGCTGCAAATAAATTGAGTAGGAGATATTTTGATGTGTAACAAATTGCAGTTTCAAACTTGGCTTCTACATCTCAGTCAGAAAAAGCTTGGCAAGGCAAATTCAGTTTGGTTCCCAGTGAGTAGAGATTCAAACCCAAGATGATCACTTACACTACTTACCACTTATCTTTTGCTCTCTTTAGGCCAAATTTGCACACCAAGGGGTGTTTCACTTGTATTACTGAGTGTCTGGAGTCTGGCAATCTTCTCAATGTTATTCATGATTATATGACTTACAAGAACACCATACATGACCCACCTTGTGATCCTGAGGACAATGTGCATGAGAACAATGGTCCCCATGAATTCCAAGTGAACAAGAAAAATTACAACTGTAATGGAAAATTTGCCAATGGGACCATCATTTTCAGTTGGAGTGGAAGAATGACCTTTAGGAGAAATGGTTGTCCATTTGAGTGATTTGGTGCACAAGGTGTATGCAGGGTGGAGCCTGTTGTGGAAGGTCAGCTTGTAGCATCATAAGATCACATGTTTTTTTGTTGATATGACTTCCTTCCTTGCAAATTGGTAAACAATTGAGGCAAACTTTCTTCCAGGACAATTGAGAGGGCTGTTGGAGTATGCCAATGGCTGAAGCAGAACTTTGTCACAACTGGTGAACTTGGAGAAACAATTGCTTCAGTTGCAAAGCTTATCAAAGGTAAGAGTATAAAGGGAACTTATAAATAGACACTTTTTATTCATGATATGCTCTGGCTTTTGTTCCTAAACTCAATTGTGAAGTATCTTTTTCTTTTATTTGTCCATCTTCTTTTTCTTCTTCTATCTTTATACTACAATCTCTTTGCTTTGTGCAATGTCTATCATTTTCCTCTTTGCCTTTTTTTACAACTCCTTTTCTATGACATTGATCCTTAATTTGTGAAATCAATCCTGCTGCCCTCCATCTTGAAAAAAATGACTCTGCACCCACAGTCAACTGTTCTCTCACTGACCTACTCTGTACAAATATGCATAGCTGGTGGATCATAATTCTTCTTCACAGTGCTCTGCACAGCATACTGAGATGGGTTGTTCTCAGTTTTTTGGCACAGGGCAGGATTTGCACACTTTGCACTGTTATGATCTGTGGTTGAGCATTGGCCTGGTCCTTACTCACTTTTTCCAACATTACTGGTGAAGATCTACCAGATCATGATGTATTAGGAAGGTCTCAGACTTGTGTGAATAGAAAAGAAGAATCTGTCTACTGTTGTCTATGCAGTTTAGTGCAAACATATCTCAACAAAGTTTAAGAGCGGACAAATAAACTCCCGCATGCCTAAAGTGAAGTCAATATGAAAAACAGGCAATAGACAGCTCCAATTGGAAACAAAGGCATGACGTTTAAGTTTATCTGGATGATGGGGCAGCAGAGGTCTTCTAGCTGCCAACATAAAGGAATTTTCACGTGGGAAAATTGATTACATTTAGAGCAACAAATGATTGAAAATGCATTCAATCAGCATTAAATCAGCACTTTTGATTATTTGATGCATTCAATGAAACCAATTTCTCCGATCTGAAACAGTGGGATAAGGGGATGTGTGCTTGGGGCACATTGGTTGTGTGAAAGGTTTGATCAAACAAGATCAGACCTTGATTTTAAAGCTTCTCACTGTCTGAGGAATCTGACAAAAGCATTTCATATCTTGGATCTGAAACTGTTTCAAGTTGGTATCAAGCTTCTACAACAACTCTATGTATGTGCACATCAACGTGCAATGGATAAACAGACAGGGAGCCAAATTTCATGGGCAAATTTGGACAAGCTTCATGAAAGTTAAACTGACTTCACGTTTTTGATGTGATTTCATGTTACAACTGCTCTTTTGTTTTCAAAAGTTGTATACCTGTAGTGTGAGAAGCCTATCTGGATCTTCTGAAAACATATGAAAAACTATCAAAGTGGCAGCCTCTTATTGGCTGATGAAAAACAGAGTTGGCCACTTCCAGTCTGCTGTATGGTAATACTGATGTGTGGTTGTAGATGAAGAGAAATGTCACTACTTCAGGGATGAGTCTGCTTGGGAGAAGTCAGCAACACTATTGATTTTTGCTCTTAAAATACCAGCTGATGTTGAGGTGGATTGTGTTTGTCTTTTTAAAGTGTGTTGGCATTGCGTAAATCTCAACAGCTATCATGTAGCATAGCTGACACATAGTGGGTATCTTAATTTGCATGCAGTTATGGCGTTCAAACATGCGCGAGAAATTTGCAAGTTGTGAGAAAGTTCTGTGCAAGTTCTTTTAAACATCTTGCATAGAACTTCCACAAAACTTGCAGACTTAAGAAAGTTATGTGTGAACCTAGGCTTCCCCGCTTTGAGGACTCAGTTTGCCCTTGATGAGATACATACAGCAGGGGGTTGTGAAAAAATTAATTAAGCAAGATCCGTGCAAGATTTCTTGCACGGATCTTGCACGGATCTTGCACATCGGTTTTGCAAATTTCTTGCACATGTTTGAACGCCATAAGAGCACCCACTATGGTGGGCGTGTTTTATCGTAAATTTTGCGGTCCCGACCGCGAAATTTAATCATGCGTGTAACAACTAAATTAGTAAACGCATAAAAACCACTATGAGCTGCTTTACGACCTGATTTACCAACGATAAATCACTGTGAGTCAACCAGATCCACAGTGGTATGATCTTGAAATGAATCATCACATTCCTCATAATCTTTTCCCAAAGATCAATTATCTCAGAAGTCTTCAAATAGCAATAGGAACAACAATAATAACATCAACTAGTCTTGACTTCTTGTTTGATAAACCTCACATACCACCTCCGCTTCCTCGCACTCAAATCTGAATTGATCGAGACTTATCAAGACTGCACTCAACGTGCTCGGAAACTATATAAGTTTTCAAGTTTGAACTTTGAAGTTGAGGTGTTGAGGTCTGAACGTTGAGATTTGAAGTCTTGAATTGTGGAGTTTGGGATTTGATGTTTTGGAAAAGGCAGTTGTTGACCGATTATCGTACGATAAATCAAGTCGTAGGCTTGCGTAGATCTGAGCACGCGGGGTGCAAGATTTAACGCAGCAGTACGGACTGCATGTCTAAAACAGGTCCGTAGTGGACCTGTCTGGATTTTAGCGTTACGGTAACGCTAAATCACCTCGTTAACGCACCCATAGTGGGTGCTCTAAGTGTATTTATCAAAGGAATTGAAATCAAAGCGTGCCTCAGTACAGACATAACCCCTCTACACCCATAGGACCATCTTTGTACCGAGGGGCACATATCCGTGTAGAGAGGTTTCACCGTACTTGTTCAGACAAAATTTGTGGGAGGCGAACTTCAGCTTGAGTCCATCGTGAGCTTGAAGTCTACATATATGACATCGCTTCCATCTCTCATAAGGTGCTCCGTATATATACAAGATGAATCGACCTAAAACAATGAAACCTCAAGTCGAGACTCGTACGGTGACAGTGAGTCGGGAGTCAAATTCCAAATGATGCAATATACACTTGAACACCTGACCGCTCTCGGGGACTCTGCTCTCATTTTTCACTTTCTTTGTATCAACCTTGCAGACCGACGGTACATTTGAAGGTTTTGCTGAGTTTCTGAGGTCCGATAATCCTGCCGACCTTGTTGAAACGGAGCTGAATTACGAACACACATTAACTGACCCGCGTTGTGACCCAGAGGAGAATGAGTACGAGACGGATGGACCTCACGAATTTCGGCTTAAGAAACGAAAAACTACGACCGTAATGGAGACATCGCCGATGGGACAACCGTCTTCAGTTGGAGGTGAAGAACAAGTTGTAGAGGACTTAGTGATACATCTGAGTGATTCGGTCCGCGAAATGTTTGCCGGGTGGACAATGTCGTGGAAAGTCAGCTTTTACCATGCCGAGGTCATATGATTTTTCCGTTGACATGACTTTCTTCCGTGTAAATCTGCATCTGGACTATTGCGAGCTCTATCCAGTTTGCTATCGATGGATACAACGGTAATGGTCGAGAATCCATCTCCGATACCCCCGAAGGATCCCGTATCTTTAAGCAGTCTGTTATCACGCCATACAGCGACCCAGCGGAGTGGAAGACTATTACTGTGGGAAAAGTGATGGAAATGCGTACTTTGCTCGCAGGATATGCTGATCATGATGTATGCATTCCGTATGCAATCCCAGAGAAGATACTGATTGCTTGCAAGTTACCTCACTCGTGATTACAGGACCTGGAGTTCAACATAACGTGGTCCCGTCAAGAGCCATCTTTCTCACAGTTAGAGAGAACTCAACGCGAGTTGGATCTTTTGAAGAGAGCAATGGCACAAACGCAGGCCATGTTGCTTGGAATTTTTAACCGTCCCTCGATTGATATCACTCGATTAGTCTTTCGGTCAAAAACGCAGCGGAACTCGCAAATATCTGTATGTCCC